CAACCAGTCTCCTATGGGATATAATTTCTAGATATCCTAATTAATTAAATTTATAAAAAAATTATGAAAATCTGATGCCATGCCTGCTCATAGGGATATTTTGTGCACTTGAAAGCTTTCATTAAAAGACTGCTCTTTATGTTATCAACCCTAATATTGTTTTGAGGGTTTTTCTTCTGATTCTGGGCAACAGGACCATCAGCAATTTCAGAAGAGCTGTTATCACTGCTCTCCTGCCAGCATGGTTTGCTTTGGGGATTTTTTTTTTTTTTTTCTTGGTGCTTGTCCAGAAATTTCAGGCAAGTGGGAGTCTTTCAACTGCCAAGAGTAGCAGGTTAGGGCGAGTGTGAAATAAAAAATGAGAATAAGGATTGTGAGGACCTCTATGGAGGCATGATGACTAGAATGGTTTTAATGCTGGGTATCGTTTTAAAAATGCATCAGAACACGCTGAAATGAGAAATAATTGTTGTTTCCTTGTTAATAAATGTGGTCTTTCTCTGAAAAAGATGTTCTTTTCCAGTGGCTGCCAAGCCAGATCCATCCTTAGGTGTGTGAGGCACCTCCCTCAGCTTCAACAATGTGGAATTTAAACTTGAATGTCATGGGTTTCACATGAAATTTATATAAAATCCACAGCCTGAAATTCACGTAGAGATTCACATAAAATTTACATAAACATTGTGCTTCAGCAGAAACGACTCTGCTTTTTGAAGTAAGTGAAAAATACAAAGTGCATCCAGTCACAAGGAGCTCAGAGTCTGAACATGAATTTTATTCCCCTTCTACAAGTAGAAGTTTGAGGCAGAGATACAGGGACTGATCACGAGAGCTTTTAAAAGCAACAATTTAAAAAGTGGTTTTCTTGTGGTTCAGATTCCTCAGGGACATGTCCCAGCCCCCAACTGGACTCCTTTTCTCAGGACTGGGAAATGTCTAAAGGAGATTGTGGAGCCACTGGTGATCCCTCTCACCAGAGAACAGAGTTGGTTCATTTCTACCCCAAAATACCACACAGCACCTGGAGGGAATTCAAACATTAAAAAAAAAAAAATAATAATAATTCAAAGGCAGCTGTCTAAGCTAAGCTTTTTCTTACCCTCCTTCTGCTGAGTGTAGTCAGTGTCCACTTTACAGGGTGATTCCCCACCAGTGCCACCTTAAAATGGGATTATTCCTGTCTGGAAAGTCTCTCTCCCCTGAGCTACAGAGGAAAATTTGCTTTGCTACTCAGCAAATGGGTAAGAGGAAAAGAAAATTCTACATCTGAAGTTCGACTAATCCAGACTTAACCTATGGTTGTATGATTTTGTGTTTCCTCAAAAGTCAGCAGCACATAATAGAGGCTCCCAAAGGAGCACCCATCCCTCAAAGGAGAGGGGGGAATAAGTGGAATAAGTGAATAAGTGGGAGCACTTCTCTGCCTATCCTAGGAGAAGGACAGAAGCCCAGGACCAGGACCAGGTGTCAAGTTCTGCACCACTTCTGTTCCCTGGGATGAATCCCAGAGTGTTCCCCAAACAGGAATTCCAGCTGCAGTGCAGACACAGGAAGGGAAGGCAGGATTTGTGCTTTCTGGAAACAGCCTTGGGCTGTGCCAGGGGAGGTTTAGATTGGATATTGGAGAAAAATTCTTCACTGGAAGGGTGGTCAAGCACTGGAACAAGCTGCCCAAGGTGGAATCACCATCCCTAAAAGTGTACAAAAAACCATGTGGATGTGGCACCTGGGGACAGGGTTAGTGGTGGATTTGGCAGTGCTCATTTGATGTTCTGAGAGGGCTTTTCCAACCTTAATGACTCTGTAAATCTCTGATTATTTTGATTCCAACACCATCCATTAGCAAGACCACTATCAGTAATTTTTTTTTTCATTCCGTCCCATCTTATTCTTTAAACTATTCTTTAAAACTATTCCTTAAAACTATTAACTATTTAAAACTTACTCTTTAAAACTATTCCTTGTAATTTCTGCTTTCCTAAGATGCTAAAAATTAGGAAAGTTTGTGCTGATTCAGTTGGGGTTTGTGAAGCACCTCTTTCCAAGCCTTCTTGGGCATCCCTACGTCACTGGGCAGTGGGGAGACCCCGCCAGTGCCAGAGGAGACCCTGCTGGGCAGTTTCACACTCAAGTCACTTTGATTTCCGTGGGCAGATTTCACCCAGCAGGAATTGCTGGCTGCAGCATGGTTCACAAATGCAGGGAGATTGTGCACGCTGTCCTTCATTTAATTTAATTTTTTTTTTTTCCTGTTATCGTCCTTTTCTTTGCTCTTCTAAATCGTTTATTTCAAATGTGCTTTTCCAAGCGGGATCAGACAATGTTCTTGTTGATGGGAATTCTTGACAATCTCCATCTCTCCCCTGTTTTAAGGTAAATTACTCGACTTGCTGATTCTCTCTCCCCTCTCTCCCAATGCCAGCCCATCAGTGTTTTCTAAAACAATGAACTTGTAATTTCTTTTTAAGTGGGGCTGGTTTTTATCTCTGCATGGAATTACCACAAAATCAGCCACCTGCTATAACTGAATTTTATCCACACTGCCACGGGATATTTCTACTGTGGCTGTTCCTGTTCTACAGCCTGAGGATATCCTTGCATTTCTCTGGTTTGCATTATCCATTGCTGGATAATATCTATATCTTGGAACATATATATGTTGAAACAATAATAACAAATAAAATTTTTCCTATTCTTATTCAACATAGTTAACTCAAACACAACTATACAAAGACCAACAGGTGTTTCTCCCAAGATCTCATTAACCACTGATTATCTCCAGCATCTCTTGTAAGCAAATGTCTCATTAACGTGGATGTTCACACATAATTTACTTTTGTACATAGTTCCACACTTCAGAGAGCCATAAACCTGGTGCTGCACATCCTCAGATTTACACGGAAAATGCATTTCCTGCTGTGTGGACAGACACAAGCTATCAAAGACAATAAAATCTAATAGCACTCAACATGGTCTTGATTTCATGATTTCCATCTTTAGTACATAAACAATATCACAAAATTATAAAATCAGAATATCCTGAGCTGGAAGGAATCCACAAGGATCAATGAGTCCAGCTTCTGGCCCTGCACAGGACACCCCAGTGTGTGCTCAGAGATTCCAAACCTTTCAAACCCCAGGTTTAGAGACTTGTAGAAATATTCTAGTGAGTTACAGCATTCATGGGATGAGATCCTCATCTGGCAGAGGAAACAATCTGGGACAGGAGTGGGAAAAGAGAGGTAGAGAAGCAAATGTAAAGGATTCTTTTCTTTTTTTTCCCAGCTCCTGTGATGATTTAATGAGCATTTTTGCCAAATTTGGTGTTTTGGTGGGTCTGGTGGGTTTTTGTATTATGGTGTTGAACATCACAACAACATTGTTTGACACTGACCTAATTCTTCAAACACCAACTCTCTCAGAACTGCTCCACTCACCACACGTGGTACTCTCAGCCTTATATTTTGGTGAGAAAACATAGGATTGGATTTGCTCCCACAGAAGCTGATAGGGAAAAAAAAAAAAAAAAAAAAAAAAGACACCAGTTTCTGTCCTGAGAACATTCCTCCTCCACTGATGGGGATCTGCTGCTGTCACCAGAGCTGATGGAGCCCACACAGCTTTTATAAGTTCATCACCCACATCTCGTTAATTGGACTTGTGCCAGGCAGAAAGTAACACTTGGAAGTATTATCTGCTTTTCCTGGAGGTTTTATTTCCCTTGGCATGCAGTCAAAGAGAGAGAATTTTGACAGAAAGCCTCGTAGAAAATCATGGAGCTGGAGGCTCTTTTTCAGCTGGTAGGATTATTTGCTCAATCTCAATATAAAATGCAAATATACAGTGGAAATATTTATGTTTGGTTCTTTTTTTGTTTCCTGAGGCGGAAGATGAATTTCATTTGAGATTCACTCACTAATTTTTTTTTTTTTTTAATATTAGTAGAAAACTTGAGAAATTGCTCTAAGTTTTTGTGAGCTGGATGAGCCTTCTAGGTTTGTGAGCTGGTAAGATGGTGATCTGCAGAATTACAGAAGATTTATTCTTCTTGAAAGCCAGTTTTTCACACCTCTGCCACAGAGACCAGAAAGAAGCAGGAGCTGGGTTCCTTTACCGTATTCATAATAAATTTTGAATTATTTTTTTCTTATATCCCAAAAGAAGGCAGCTCCCACCCACAGTCCCATCACCTCCTCTTCCTGCACTGATGTAGCAGGAAATTGGGACTTTTTACCACTCAGACCTTTGCTTCAAAGTTTCTTTCCTGAAGCCTCGTCTTTGAACTGATATGAAAGACCTGAATCTATTTTTAGCTTATGCAAGAAATCATTAGAGGTGAGAAAAATCCTCTTTTGACACTGGGAGTTTATATTCTCTAGAGCAAAGACTGCAGTAAGAATAGTGAACTATGTTAGGACAGTTCTTTGGTAAGGAAGGACATTTTTTTATAAAATAAGCAGGATGGAAGAATGAGTTTGTCTCACATATCCACGGAAATGGCTGCAGGATGAAGCAGAAACTGCTTTTCAATTTTCAGACAAATTCCAAAATGAGCGAGTTCCCAAACCTTCACAAGGATTGCAGCCAACAGAAATTCATAGAATTGCAAAGATGTGATCCTTAAAGTGTGGGTTTTTCTTTGTTTGTTTTTTTTTTTTAAATTAACCCAGCACTTCTGAAAGATAACTAAATGGCAGCAGGTTTCATACTCAAAGGAAAATTCTGTTTCTGGCATGTTGGAGTGATTTAATTGGGACTAAGGAATGTGATCTTCTGGGAGAGTAGAGTCTGACCATTACTGTGTGATGCCACTATGGATTTTATGGCTATTCATATGAAAGAAAAGTAATTTTTCCCAGGGAAACTGACACTTTTTATTATTATAAACAAGAATATTTTTGTTTATAGAAGGAAGAACGAACCACAAAGCTCAATAACAATGTGAGGAAAGGGATGGATTTCCACCACTAACGTTTTTTATCCCTCCTTCTCTTCCACAGGTTGCCCAGGAATGTGGGACAATATCACATGCTGGAAACCTGCAAGTGTGGGAGAAATTGTTTTTGTCAAGTGTCCTGCACTGTTCAGATTTATCATCTCTGAAGATGGTAAAGTATTTTCTCTTTATTTTCACCTCTGCCTGGTAAAACCTCATGGCCAGCACGAGTGTAAAACTTCACTTAGATCCTCAGGATAAGAGACATCAAAAACTCTACAGCTGGGCTCCAGTTAGAAATAAATTGCAGAAAACCAGGATATTTGTGTGTAGGTATGGGAGTGTGCATGGGGTGGGAGGGAAGGTGTGAAAAAAAAGCCTTCACAGACTACACAACATGAAAATATCACAAATTTGAGCTGCCAAAGGGAATATTCTGCCCTTGGCTCTCACTGTGTTTGGTTCTTGGGTTCAGTTAGAATCTATTTTAGCAAATAATTAAAAGGTAGAGCAGGTTCTGCTTGGGCTGAAGGAGAAGAAAGGCGTGAGATGAGCAGTGAGGAGCTCCCCTGTTGGGGTCCAGGGAGGAATTAAAGATTTCTGGAGAGAGGCAGAAGTTCCAGCACCCATTTCTTGAGGTCTGTGGAAATGAGACATAGACATCCTTCTGTCCCTGTGCAGGTAATGAACACAGACTGCTCCATTTGCTCCCAGCACCCACTGCAGTCCCTTAATTAGCTCTGTCCTTTGAAGAATTACCAATTAATTTTTCATTTACAGCCTTAAGTCCAAAATCTGTTTGTTTTTTGGTTTTCTGGGGGTTTTTTTGGGTTTTTTTTTGGTTTTTTGGGTTTTTTTGTTGTTGTTGTTTTTTTTTTTTTGCATTGCCACACACACAGAGCACCATTTTTAGGAGACAGAGTTTCATACACAGCTCCAGGAGCTCTGAAATCCTCACTTTTAACACAGCCACACCAGGCATCACCAATGTCACCAAACCCATGACCCACTTTAGAAACGAGATTAACTCAATTTGACCTGTTCCAGGTCTTCAGTAAATGGTTACCTGTTAATGAAAAAAAAAACTTTAAAATAGAAATATTTTTGCAATTAAATTATTTAAATAAAAATAATTAGATTTTTATTGTATTTATTTTATACTTAAAGAAAAATTTTATCTATTTAAATAAAACCAGGATTTTATTGTATTTATTATATTTCTAGCTTCTATTTCTTTTAATAAATATTTGATTTATTTGCAAAAATTACTTAAACAAAAATAATAAAAATTCTTTGCATTAAAAATAATTTATTTCAATAAAAATAATAGAACCTTTAGAGAAGCAATTCAATACATATATATATGGTTTATTTATTTATTTATAGCTCTATTTATTTTAGCTATGTAAAATAAAGGGCTGAAATAATATTTTTAAATAATTTTCCCAGGATTTACTGATCTCCTCACATACAGAACTTCCCATTTGGCCTGTGGCAGGGTGACAGTACAACCCTAATATTCCATCCAGTGGAAACACATGTCCCATTCCCTTATCTCCTCATGGGATCCCCAATAAAAGTGACAGCTGTCACCTCGTGTAGGGCTGGGTTTGAGGGGTTTTTGGACATCTGTTCACCAGGAACAAACCCAAGATTCATAATTTGTTAGATAAACAAATCAACATTTAACCTGGAGTAGCTGGAAATCTCAGCAGATGTGGTTGGGGTTGCCCTGCTGACCCCAAGGTGGAATTATCAAATCCCAAAGCTCTCTCCTGGGTGATTCAGCATCAGCTTTGCCATCATTGCTGCTAATTTTAATTAGCCAAGTGTATTTGTTCAATGAGGGTTTAATGAAAAAAGTCACATTTCATGATGGTTCCCTAAATAACGAGTTATTAGAGAACTATAATGTTTCTAAGACATGGATAATCACATTTTAGGGATTGTTATAGTGTCCTCTGGCTGCTGCTCTGTTTCTGGAATGTGGAGCTAGGCTGGGCATGGACACTAATATTTATTAATAGCAAAATCATTCCTAGTATAGCAACATTTTTATATGGCCACAGATAATTTTTACAAATGCAGCAATAACTTTAAATTATACTTTTCAAAAGTTTGTGCTCTGAAGTACCTGTAAGTACAACATAACCACAGGGAAATCAAGGAGTGTGCTAATCTTAAAAAATGGGTAGGAAATATCTCACCTGGCTTCGGAAATTTAAATTTATATGTGAATTTATGAAGTGATCAGATGGATTTCTGGTTCAGTGAAAAGAAATCAATGGGCACTTGTAGAAAATGCTTTCTCTGAGCCCTCTCAAATGCTTGTCTGGAGGTGAGTGAAGTCACTGCTTGTTTTCTGAATTTCAGAAAGGAATCTGACTGTCTTTACTTGGATGTCTAATTTCCATATGGAATAAAATGGGGAAAAATAAAAGAGACTGCAAAAGAAAAATTAACTACCTAAGCTGTCATCTGGAGGGATGCTTTTTGGAAAAATTAGCTGTGTATTTAGCTAAAAATATCAGCTGTTTCTGGCTTTGATCTGCTCTGCTTTAGCCTTCACTGCAGTTGAACCAAGGAGTAATGTTTGAGCTGCTGTCAACATCATGCAGAAAGTTCCAAGAGGAATTCTGTGTGCTTGGCAGCCCTGCCTTCTAGAACTTCATTTCGCCTCTCTGATCCTCCAAAATCACCAGAATTTTTCATTCCTTTCAGATGTAGGCTGTGAATGAAAGTATCGTTCTCAAAATCTCTCTGCTGGAGATTCCTTTCCTCCAATGGGAAGAAGCTTATTAGTTCCTGGCTCTTTTCTCATCTTGTAAATTTGGGATTACAGTGGCTTTCCTCCTAGATAGTTCCCCAAAATTAATCCTTTTCCTCTTCCACGTGCATTTCTTTGATTGATATCCAGCAATCATTATCTCCACCAAGAGCTGTCACTTCCATGACCTCTCTGTTGTCACCAATTCTCCAGTGCCTTCCCAGCACTGGCTCCAGAAACACCCACTCCACAACAGGATGCATTTAAAGCATTCTAAGGCATATTTGCAGAGGTAAAAGGAAGAAAATCATGTCAAGCTGTGATATCTTTCAGTAGGACACAGCAAGATCTAGAGATGGCCCTAACAGAGTGATCTGCACTCCCAGCTGGAGAATTTTCTCTTCTTCTTTTTTTTTTTTTTTTTTTCCCCAGACCGAGATGATACTGCCTAGCAGTGGAAATCTGCAGAAGCAAAATCTCTGTTTTTTTCTGAAATATTCTGGAACCTATAAACACAGCGAAATGGACCACAGAATGAAACTCAATAATCAGATCAGAAATGAACTTATTGTCAGTCCTTTGATTTGCAGTAAAAAAAAAAAAAATACAAATGATAATAGACAGTTTCTGAGCATTGCCATATGCTCCCCATTTGGAAAAGGCTTTCATTCACAAATCCAAATAATAAATATGAGCAGCTCTTACTGAAACTTCCAGCAACTCAGGTAATTTATCTGGTGCTCAGTTTAGGACACTCCCTGCTACATTTACCACAAAACATGGTTCACTATGTACAACAGAGGAAATTCTCCTAATTTTTACCAAAGGCATAAAGCCTCTCCTATGTTGATACCAGGATTAAGGGTTCCTAATTAAAATCCAGTAGAATAAAGAATGTAATCAGGTATTAGAGAGTTTAAGAGGGAATTACATCCTGTGCTCACTTTCAGAACCAAACTCTTTGGCTTGTTGCTTCTCTTGGTTGAACACAGTCAGTGCTCAGGCAAGGAGCTCTGTTATCCCAAGAAATTGGAAATAGTATGTCACTGATCCCATTTAAAACACAGGGAAACACTCAAGTACTTTGTTGTACTAATTAATTGATTAATTGATTCTGTAAGAACCCCAAGCCTCATAAGTGCTGCACTAGAGGTGCCACGGGTGGACAGTGGGATTTATGGCCATGGGGTTAATTGGATTTGGGAGCAGTCTGTGCCCGAGTTTAGATGTTATCCCTAATCAATTCGAGTAAGATGACAAGAGGAGCGTTAATGAGAAGGGAAGTGATGCTGCATCTTTGAATGTGGCTTTTGTGTCCTTTCTGGGGACACAGTCCTGGTAAAGCCTTTAAAAGCTGACATGGGAAAATGCTACAAAATCTCCAAACTGGCTGAAAAGACAATAAAAGTCATTGACTTCCCAAAGTGAAAGCTGTTGAAAATATTTGCAATTTGCAGTTTCTATTAGTTTGGGTTAGGTATTGATGTTTTTTTGTTTAGACAGGAAGAAAAGGTGACTGATAAAGATCAGGGGCCTCCTAAACCCCCAGATATCCCTGGAAGATTGTGTGCTTATTTCCTACTGAGGTAAAAGATTCAGGGTTTTGTTGCTACTACTGAAATTAAGGTCAGCGTTGCAGCAGAGGGAAATTGGAAATTGCATTTTCCTGTCATAAGGCAAAAGATTAATGCAAAGGTCGAGATTTCTCTTCAAGGATGTTTTGCCTGGATGAGTATTCCAACATCCTGCTTGGAAACTGAGGCAAGAAAAAACCTGTAACCAAATTTTCTCTGGAAAACATGTATGACCCATGCCAGCATTCTCATCATGGGAATAATAATGAGCCATTGGAGCTTATTTATATTTATTTATTGAAGCAACCAGGACTCTGAAACCTTTGTTTCATCCTTAATTTTATATAAAATACTACATAGCAGTCAAAATCAAGTTTAGTGCAAAGGTATCTATTTTATATATAAATCATTTTAAAAAATTAAAAAGAGAAAGAAAAATATATAGACTGGCACTTGATAAATAACAAGTCATTTCCAGCTGATTTTCATCCCTGGGCTTTGCACAGGCAGTAAAGGCATGGGATTGCTCCAGCATTTCCAAAGAGAGGAGGACAAGCTGTAATTAAGGCTCCATGGTCACAGCATCACAAAGTCCATCTGCAATGCAGAGAAAATGGGAGGAAAATGCTGTCATCAAAGAACAGTAACTGGATCTACATTTCAAATCTGAGGCTGAGGCCTCTCAGATGTTTTCTAGCAGAAAAAAAAAGACATCTTATGGCCTTTCCCACCAAATTATGGGGACATAGGGTTCTATGTCTCTGATATTCAAATGTGCAGCATGAGCAAGATTCAGGTAAGATCAGGTCCTTGGTCCTCTGCAGTGGTCAG